TAAAATGTTGTTGCAAACAAAATGTTGCATGTTTAAATATTGCAAACAAAGTCCTTTTTATTAATTTCTTCCATTCTGTTAATCAAACTTACATGCAATTGTCGGAATATTGTAAATTACTTATGTGCAAATGTCGAAATTTTGTAAAGAACATCTAATCTGGTAGCTAAGCCAATGTATCGGAGTCACCCAGTTCGACAGCTCCCGCAGTCACTCAATTTTTAATATCTCACTGAGTTACTTAATTGGACAGCTCGTGTAAGCACTTAAGGAGACAGCATAGTCAGGTACCCAACCATGACAACGATTCAGCGGCAGAGAAGCGGCAACAGCACGAGCCAAAAGACCATTTGGTATCCTTTCATACTTATTGTGTATTGTTCATTTCATTCCTATTATTCTTTCAGTACGATATTTGTACCATATCGTATAAGACCAATAAAGGTTAATATCAACGCTGCGGAGTCAAAACGACAAGAATAAACTTACAAATTCCCCCGAGAACAGTGGCACTTATCGTTCATATCGAAATCAGCATGAGAATGTTTTAATTTAATACATTACAAAATCAGATTTAACATCATACACATGTGGACTGCGTTAAATTAAGTGTTGGGCAACGTCTTGGATGGATTTGTTAGTTCGTTGTATTTTGGTGGCTGAACGTTTCGTGGTGGCATTGAGTAGGTATAACAGGTATCAGGGAGGAGAGGAGCTACAAGAGGTGGGATGTCATATCATGAACACACTACTTCATGGCTAGTTAAGGTGCTGTGATGTTGGTCAGATCGTTGTTGACTGCTTACTGTTTGGCGGAATCGGCTGGTTACTTTATACACATTGATGCAAACGAAGAGCAATGCTTCTTCGATCGTGTAACAGCTGGCACTAAGATGGGTGTGATATTTGAAGTTGCCGAAGGAGGATTTCTTGACATTGACGTGAAGGTTCTCTTTTACAGTTTCGTTGCTTACAAAATTCATTGGAGCAACATATCAGTTGTCTTCTTTATTGTCTGAATGACACAGTAAATGCAAAACTTTTTGTGTACAATGATTAGTCATTTGTGTCGTTTGATTTTAACAAAAACAGAATCGACAAGTGATATAGGGTTTCCATTGCCAGAAGCAGTGCTTCAAATCTTTCGACAATATGCACTTTTTAAATCAGAATTTCAAGAAATAGTTTTATTTAATAAGTTTAAAGGTGTCTTTTCAGATTATCGGTCCTGACAATAAAGAAATCTATAGAGGAGAACGAGAAAGTTCGGGTAAGTATACTTTTGCAGCACATATGGATGGACCATATACGTATTGTTTTGGGAATCAGATGTCAACAATGACTCCAAAAGTGGTCATGTTTTCAATGGAAATTGCGCAACCTGGACAAATGGTACCATCTGAAGCAGGACAAGGTGTTAATGATTCTTCAGGTAGAATATTACTTTCCATGGCATGTATTTAGGTCAAATAATTATCTGGCGATATAAAGTGTTGAACTATGTCCTTCATCTTTTTATAGATTAAAGAGTAGCTTTCAGCGGATAGCCTTAAACTGGAAGAAATGGTACGAGAACTATCATCGGCATTAACATCTGTCAAACATGAGCAAGAATATATGGAGGTGCGAGAGCGTGTACATAGGTCAAGTAAGTTTTCTTCATTGAACTTCAGTTTATTCAGCTTTCGCGTCATCATGTTTTGTATCTTATTGCAAACAAATGTGAACCTAATCATCGTATAAGACGGAACTGAAGATTAAACAGACATTTGTGACAAAGTACGGTATTGGAAAAATGATTTCACTTTTTCCTTTTTCAAGTAAATAAAGTGAGAAAAGCAGGGGGAATGAGGAATTCGAGATTTCACTTAAGATGGGGGGAATCGGCACCTATAGTCTTAACTTGGGGAATTTTGGCCAGGAACATCTTTGCTTCATCCCTGATCATTTGTAGGTGTTAATATTATATTTTGGCAATTATTGAATGCAAATGAGATTTTATTTACTGCATAGTGAGATTTTATTTACTGCATACTTAAATTTAAATCTTCAGGTGAATTAAACCATATGTGATTGATCAATTATCAACTGTGTTTAATTATCATTGCTTTCCTGTGGCTTAGAAGATGCTAAATCCTTTTGACTTGCTTCAATTAGATTTGTTTTGCAGTAAATGAGAACACAAATTCGAGAGTGGTTCTATGGGCTATCTTTGAAGCTGTGGTTCTTGCTTCGATGACCGTTGGGCAAATATTTTATCTAAAGCGATTTTTCGAAGTTCGTCGAGTTGTATGAAATTGGATATGAAATTGGACGCCCTTTTATTAGATTATTAGTAAATTATTCAGTATTTTATTTAATTCGTAAACAATCCATATGAAAAAAATACGGTTCCTTATCTATACCTCATCGGATTATCACTGCTGATAAAAACTCTTCAAAGTTATTTAAGAATGTTTTTCATCAATGTTTCCCTCTTTTTACGTAGAAGCTCTTCCTCTCAAATGATATTAATCATTGAAGAGGAAAGAGTAGATCTAAGTGGCATTCAACTAAGGGCATTGTTATACTGGTGCAAATGATTAGTATTTAATTGTAAGTACCCGGTCATTTGATTTTTAATATTTTCCTAATCATTTTTGATCTTACAGCATAATAATTGCATTGATGTTTTCGTTAGGTTTTCCTAGACAACTGTTTTAAACAACATTTGGGCAACAGGAGCAATTTATAGTTCATTATTGTTTTTGTTCTGTTTCTGGTTCAATAAATTGCTCTTTATTAATGGATTACGAAAGATAGCTTGTGCGGGATGGTTTTTTCGATTTAAAAATCTCGATTTTCTGTTAATGTTATGATATAAAGATATAGTATCAAACTGCGCTTTCAAATATGGGTTTTTATCTTAGCTTTCAGACCTAAACTCCGACGATATCAATTATTTGCAGTGAGAAATGTGAGAAAAGAGTATTTCTCATTCTACTTTTTCTTCAACGCTTTCAACTTATTGTGAATTTCAGCAAATGATGGTCTTTCCTTAGGTTCCGTTTTCCAGCATTGATAAACAAGTTTTGATACAGTCGACGGAGCTGTCTAAAAATAAGAAATACAAAATTAGATTTGTCAATTGGATGATTGGATTTAGTCACAACAGGAAACTTTCTGGCATTAATAAGTCGGAATGGTTTTATTAGTCGAATCCTTACCGAAAAATAATTCAGAAAATAGAAATTGAAAATCTTTCTATTCAAAATTAAGCTCTGAACCAGAATCTTGATCCGTATAAAGAATGCATTTTTTTTCCTCATTCCATAATTTAAGCATCCAAGCATTTGTAGAATTTGTTTTCTGATATGATTGACTTTAGCCAAACTAACCTTCGGCATTTCCATTCGATAGTTCTGAACAACAATCTTGGCTCGTGTCTGAATGTTTGACAAGCCGGGATATGGTTCTTTACCGTTTGCATACACTTCCCAGATCTGATAATGTCCGCTAGTTTTTGCAACGGAATTGATTAAAGTTTGACAAAAGCAATTTTGTTAAGTAAGGAACATTTTATTGCATCAATGATCAGTTGTGACAAATTTGAGGACAACTTACCAATACGCCGAAAGACCAAACATCGGTTTTGTGCGAGAATATGCGTTGCTGCATGGTCTCTGGTGCAAGCCATTTCATTGGAACCTAATATTTGGCTGATGTATAGCTCAGTCTGATTGTGTTTATATGTCTCATTTTAAACTATATTAAATTGTATGCCTTCTGGCATCGAAAAAACTCGCCGTTTTGAATAGTTGTAAATTGTAATACTTTCTCTAATTTTTCGTCGTGAATGATTCTTCGTTCATCAGACATACCAAAATCACTTATTTTTACTTCCAGCTGCTCTGATAACAAACAATTCCTCGCCGCTATATCCCTGAAATTTACTATTTTCTGTTTAGATGTAAAGTATTTGTTAAGATTTCCTGTTACATATACATATATACGTGCAACGCTCTGTTTCAAAAACCCACCATTAGCTATCGACTTGATTCAATCATCCTTACTGTAGAACGAGAAATCAAATCAGATATTGCTATTGGAAACAAAGGTCTTAGTAATAGAAGGTCTGAAATCAACAGCAAACCTGTGAATGCAATGTTTGGATTCTAAATATGCAAGACCGGCGCTAGCTTCTGTAGCAAAACGTAGCTTTAGATCTGGGTTAATAGGTGCGTTTCTTCTAAGGTAATTGAGCATTGAACCTTCTAAAAAGTATGCATTTTCAATTGAATCGTATCCAAATTTAGGTTACCACATTGGGTGTGTTGCGGAATTTGGAAAGTAACAAAGTTCACCAGGACATAGCTCCATGACAATCATCAGCGGATTTTCGTACACCATAATACCCATAATTTTTACCACATTAGGATGCAAGAATTTACGCATTATTCGAGCTTCCTTCATGAATTTAAGTCGTGCCTGCCGAGATGCCTCTTCTCGCATTGTTTTCACTGCTACATCAGTTACTTTATTTATTTTTACATATTGTGCTAGATATACCTGTAATTCACAATCTTTTAGAAGCTAAATTAGAATGGGTTACACTTTGTTGAAATATTTGCAGGAGATGAATTGAATTTGTTATGAAGTTGAAAGGGGAGGACGTATTGCTTCAAATTTAAGATGGTGCGCAAGCGCAAGAATCTGACGTCACTGCTTGCCAAAAAGCTTCTAAACTAGACTTACTACCTTCTTTGCTAACGATTAAATTCCTGTCTGTATTGTTATCATTTTGCTACTATTTATGTGAAAGCATGACAGCTAGTCTGTAATTTACGCTAATAGAAAAGATGATTATGATGATACCAGTAGATCATTAATTTTGAAAATTAGGAGTAGTAGAGGTGATGTTATGCATTTTTTAGGATTTGCTTTTCAAATGACTTTTAAATTTCTAATAAAATGAATAACCTCGCCAAAGGCTCCTTCACCTAATTTCCTTTGCAGTTGAATTTCGTCATGATCTAAAAGCCATGATTGTCGATTGATTCCATTGATAAGCTTTGCATGACTTCCCGCAGATACTGGAGTTCCTGTTGTTTTGTGCCAATTAATCAAATCATGCATTGTTTTTTCCTAAATTATTAACTCTGTTTTATATTCTGATAGACAATAAAGCAATCTGTGATAACCTCCTCCATTCGATACAATCGAAATAAAATTTGAAACTAAATGAAATCTCTCTTCAATCCTTTCAAAGTTCAAATTTTTAAAAAGGAATTTTCCAGCAGTAACAAACAAAGTTGCTAAAAAGAAAACTTTGTGAGTTTCAAAGTAATAGTAGCCGCTTTCGTCTTGATTGACTACAAAATGAAGTACTTGTTTGTTCCACTTTACTGACAAAGCCAAGATGATTTGACCTGGAATTTTAATAATGCTTGTGTTAATTTTATGGGAATTCAGCAAATGCATAACCTTTGTTTTATTTTTTTCAGTTCACCGTCCATGATGTGAATTTAACATAATTACACACTTAACTCACGATTCTTCTGAAGGCGATAAGGTTAGCAGAAGACAAAAGAAGATTGTCTTGCACTGAATGAGCAATCATTTTCTAATAACATATTTCCGGACAAATGTTTACCATCTTTGTCCGTTTTACGAAGAACGAAATCACCGTCTTCTTTGAGTAATGGGTCGATGTCAGCGTGTAAGAGAAATCCATGATAGAAGGTTCGTTGAAGTTCGTTATCCAGCTCCAATGGGTCATCCATCTTCTCGTTCCGCTCCGGTCAAAGATGACAAGAAACAACCATGCGGCACTATCTGATCAATACACAATAAACTATGAAATGATTTTGCATATTTATAAAATAATGGCAGCAGAAAGTTCGCTATCATTTACAGTTGATCGAAAGAAAAGTCAAAATTTACAGACAATATTTTTTATCACGCATATCTACGTGAACTTTACATATTCAATATTTAGGATTACGAACTATTTATGATGCATGTCCGACCTGCACCATTCATTCATTCGTTTGCAGATCGCAGTCGATATGACTGTCTGTTCAGTCTGCTTGGAATGCAAACAGCCAAATGACATGGCAAAACTACCTTGTTCACATATGTTCTGTAAAGATTGCATATCAAAATGTTCAACGTCACAGCTTTGTCCTGCTCCTTGCTGCACTCATGTACGTCATGTAAACGTCGTCATCGATGAAGCGGATGAGGTAAAACTGCTACCTGTTCTGAATATCTTCTGTCACGCAATTTGAATATCTTCTATCACGCAAATGTCAAAGATGAAGGACGTAAAGTAGGCAATTCAATTTTCATTTTGATATATTATCTTGCAATCTTAAGAATTGAACATAGGACTTGGATCCAGGCCCTAACTGGCTGGATATATCGGTCATATTAATCTTGTTGATGAAATTGTGCTTAATTCTTAAGCATGATTCTGAAAGGAGTATTTGCTTGAAAATGAGGTAAACACAATTTAGCCGAATAATACAGTGATCAATAAATTACGAGTGTGATCACCTAGCAAATATTACTGCCGTGATATCGTAATGCGGAACGGGAGTGATATTCTTCAGGGTGATGAAGAGACACGAAAGATATCATTTGGGCAGAAACTACCATCGATGCTACAACTCGAAGAACGACAACGATGTGATGGCAGGAAAGGTTTCATTTCTTGAATTTTTTTTCCGGCAAAATTATGATGAAAATCATAAAACACTTCATCCATATTAACAAGAATTGCTATGTTCTCCTGATACTATGATCTTGAATAAGCGATATTTAATTGACCTATCATATGACACTAGGTAACTCCGAGGTTACTGTCATGCACATTTCTGACTTTCAATTGGATGCTTTTTCAAGGCGCGTTTGCGTGCGTGAATTCGGCACGCATGACGTTGATGGATTGTCGCCATCGTCTCTGCTTCGATTGCCTAACATCACGCATTAACGTCGCCGTTGCAGCTCGTTGGTTTCATTTTGTCCTCACTTCTAAATCTCTACTATACTGATTGATTCTAAAGCTTGTTATTACAAAGTAATTTTAAAATAAAAAAACTTTGATATTTCCTGTAACTGCAGATGAGCTCCCATACTGTCCCATATTTCGATGTGCTAATCGACTCACTAAAAATGAAATTGCGAAAATATCTGAGCGCGCGCCACATATGCATCAAATCTGTGCCAAATTGATTGAAGAAAGTCCCGATGATGCACCTGAAGAACCACCAGTGAGTTTTTTTACGTTTTCACATGCTTTATATAACTTACTCATTCTTCATTATCTTTATTAAACATGTTAATTCAGTATTTGAAACTTGAAACTTAAATTTTAGTTTTATACTATTTCAATTCATTTGTCTGAAACTTTATGAAACAAATGAATAACCAATTTAAATGCTAAAAAAGTTATTTAAATCATTTAGGGTAAAGATGAATGCATGTTCTTCTGTTCTGTCTATCAGTCAGAAAGTAGTATGAAACCGATAATATTTCCTTTGGCATGTACAGTTCTTGACATGATCAGTGCCATGATACAGGTCCAAAGACTAACCAAAAATCGTACCGCAAATAATATCGGTGTTTACATCAGAACGACAGTTACAGGTCTGTGCTTCCATTGTTAAGTTTAAATTTTTATTTGAATTCAAAAAAAAATCAAGTTGAGAATTCGAAAATCTGAATTCGAAATGATATGTGACATACGGTATAATATATTACATGATACACCATTTAACTGCTGTTCCATCATGCTTCATGATAATTTTAGTTTCCATCCATTTGCATCACAAATAACTTCTTTCAGGCAAGCCAAAATATGATCTGATAGATATAAAAGCGATGATGAAGAAGAAAATTGGTGAAACGGATTTTCATGATCGCACCCATTTCGTGCTGGACGTTGATAATGAACTCAAAACAGCGAATCCTGCGAATAATAAATAAAAGTGAAATCTACCAAAATTTGCTTAAACTACGAATTTCAATTAATTTATATATTGTATCATCGATCATTTTAGAGCAATTTTCTATTGCTTGGTAATCTGTAAACTCGTGGTAATAAACTCAGATGAAACAACCGAAAAGCAAAACAGAACTTGTCGTGAAATTATGAAATGAATAAAAATATTTGTTGATTTCTAAAATTACTTAAAAAGTAATTGAAATTCATCGATGATCGCTGTGTTGTTACAAAGGCGCAATCAATTCTGAACGTTAAATACATATGAAATATTACTTGCCACTGAATTCCCACTGAAATATATAGGAGCTCATATAGTTCTTTGTAATCTGAGGTGTTTAGAATTCGATAAATCAGACGGCAGCTTACTCCGATGATTTAAAGATGAATTGGTTTAAATTTACTTTTAAATTCAGATTTAGATTTTTTTTTTTTATAAATACAATCCAGAAGTGAAGATGCATTCCATTTGATTGCCATCTTCAGCGACCAAGAACAAATAGCCATTAGCGCCGCTATGTGATTAACCAATCTGCAGGGCAACTCTCTTCATAAATTAAAATATTATAAAACAACCTGCTATGAAATAATATCGGGTTGGATGACAACTATTAAATATTTATCGATTTAATAAGTAACATATAAAATTATAACAAATTTAGCACTTTGCTAGTTCTTATCACGAAATCCGAATGCGTTTATGCCATCTGGAAGAAGACTGTACCGATCAGGAATTATATAAGTGAGAAATCCTGTTGATAAAACCGGTTCAATTCTTTCATTCACTTATCAGAAGTAAAGTGTATTTCAATTCTGGACGGAAATTAAATGCATTGCTATTGTAATTAACAAATCAATTAACTATTTGTGACAGGAGACTTTTGATACATTTTAAGCATTTAATACATTCCTAATCATTTTCAACGCGCCATGTAAGTACCATTTAAAAACTTCAGTTTTGAAACCAATCATTTTTCACTTAACAAACTGTTTGTTCTTCAAACTTTCATAGTTTGACAAGATTATAAATAAAAATGATTGTAGGAATCATTATTTCATGCCTCGTGAATCAATATTTCTTTTATATGCGCCAACTTTTCTGATGAACGGAAGTTTTTTTTTCCAACTGATCAATACAGAAAATGAAAAAAGATTGATGACAAAATTAGGATAAATTGACCAGTTCTTTTGTGACATTACTATCACTATTGTCATTATGTCACTAATACTTTCGCTCTTTTTCCTTTCTAATTCCTATTCGCCAGATTTTTTCAAGGACGAACTTACGAGTCAGGAAAAAAGAAATCAACTACAATAAAGTAATATAATAATGGCCTTTGTTTAATGAGTTAATCTTTGCAAGAAGCATATTGACTTTAAGTCTCTTTCTCCACTACCAATATATTCATCATTATCAAAAGGTATCTGAAAACTGTAAACTAATCCATTCCGTATTGATGAAATTTCTCTTATGTCTACTACTTAAACAAAGTATCATTTTCGACATCAATGTTTTGCTTTTACAGATCATGTGAACACCGATGTATTTTCAGTGTGATGTTTTGATATTTATGTCTCGATTGTAGTTATGGTAGATTTCTTCCTTGAAATATCTATTTTAATTCCAATCGACCGCTTCATCTACGTACATTTTTCGAAGATTCTCGAGCGGCACCGAATTGGTTTTAATGGCCTTACGGGGTAAATATAATGCACTTCTTGTCTTTGCAAATTTTTTAGCTAATAATTGAAACTTTGATGCTATTGCCCTGACGAGAATGATTGTTTTAAAGGAAACCGACAAGCGACAACCTTGTGCCAAGATGAAAATTCGAGCCACTTCCAGCAAAAAGTTTTGAAATTTTGTGGGCATTGATTTGATGTTTTAAATTTCCTTTGTTTTATATCAAATTTTAAACGACATGTTTTTTTCCCTTCCTCCCTATTGGTCCATAGCTCACCTAGTTGTCGTTTGTGGATAATATGACCCTGACAAATAACCCTGACGATAGAAATTGTCGCCGTTTCACCCGATGTCCAAACTTTAACTTCTTCTTGTACTAATAATTGATTTTTGAAATAGGGAGGGAATTGCAAGGTTTACAGTAATTGAGGAAATAGAGGAAGTCAGAAGAGGACTGTGAAAAGATCAATCAAGGTAAAAGAGTAATGCTACTGCTGCTATTTCCGGTACGATGCACTGGATAGAAAGATATTGCTGCATCATTTTTTCCAATACCACTTCTAAGATTTTTATAAATTTCAAAATTTAAAAATGTCTTTTTTCCACCCAATTAAACTTTTTGACATTTAAATCTTGCTTTTTTTTCCACTTCAAAAGTTCAAGAAAGACTTTAGTTGTGTCTTGATGAGGAACATTTGTATAAAAGAGCACAATATAAACAAAAATCATGAAATTTTCTCATAAGAAAGGTTGCACAAGTCAAAGAATACACAACACGACAATTCTGATAATTAATTGTTTTTCAAAATACTCCTGCCCGCCATAGGACTAAAGAAAAGTTATTCATCCATTTGAAGACTACATCTTCTCAATGGCATCACAAAATTCCTGGACTGCTAACAATGAATGATGGAGCGCTTGTACTATCATGCAAATTCCTTTTACCAATTTCGAGAAAAAAGAAAAACAGTGGTAAGGATAACTAATGAGACTACAGCTTCCAAGAAAAGACGACAGTTACATTAATGGTAGCAATAATCAAAATAATGATAATACAAAGCGCAATCAAAAGTTCATAATAGTTTTTATTGAGCTGACGAAAGATTCTAATCACCACTGTGCAATTTCTTTGCTATCAAAATCTTTGAAGACAATTTTTCAGATAATGGAAGAGCTTTCGTATCGTTATTACATTTTTGGATTTCAAAGATATTGCTGCTCTTTGGAGGGTCAAGTTTCTTGCTTCGTATCTGTATGAAAGTACTTCAAAAGACAAAAGGTATTCCAAAATACTTTGTAATGGACAGAAACAACAATTCTTTGTTTTGCTATTTTAAACCCTATTTAGAACTTGAATTAATGTGCAGTTTTAGTACCTCAGCAGTATAAGGTCATTTTATGCGAAATGTATTTTTAAATATTATTCTCAAGAATTCTGAAGACATCTTTTTGCCGGCTTGATGAAATTTCAAGGTCACTCAGAAATTAAATACGACACCTTTTATCGCCACCTCACTTTTAGTTGCTTCTGGCCAGAAACAAGTATCAGTTGCACTCAACACTGTATTTATTTCTTAACATATTTAAACATTAAAGTTTTTAATGAAACGTAAAAAATTAATAGTTGTTTATGCTATTTAATCTCAAATCTTAGAAGTTGGAAAAAAGTTGGAATTAAATACATTTGCTGATGGTCAAATTACCGTGGTATGAAGTAGCAGTCTTCATTGAAAAAAAAAACACTCTTGTCTTTTTTACATCTTTATTTAGAAAATCCATAATTGTTAGAATCATCATCCATTTGCATCTTCTATGTTCCATTTTTCATCCTTCCCATCATTTTTTTGGTTATACCCATCTTTTTCTGCCGATTAAGAACGCATGAAATTATAAATAGAAGTTTATGGTATAAGTCTTTTCCACACTCTTTTCTTCTTATCTGTGTTTATTCATTTGAAGAGTTATTTCGTTTGAAGAATTTGACATATGAAAAAACATCGAAAAAATCTTATCCAAAAGAACTAATTCTCTTCATTTTTACTCTACCTTATCATATCACGAAGGTTTCATCATTTGAAATACATTCCTCATAGGTTCCGTTTGCAATTTTTATTTCAATTGAGACGGAAGAGAATTAGGTGAAGGTTCTTTGCTGAAAAACTGTTACCATCCTCAAACATTCGATTCCTACAACACTTTCTTCTTCCTTTTTTAATTGTACCAAAGTTCTTTTTTCTGAGTTATTTCGCTCGTTTTCTTTTTCAAAACTTTTACACATCACCTTGAAAAGGTGTAGAAATACTAAGGCTGCCGACATCAGTCCTATTCTTTTTATTTTTTTTTAACCGGAATCCACTCGATGTTTGTGACGATGATGACCCACAAAGTTCAAGAAATAATATGGGGGTGACATCGGATTCCAGCGCAATACGAATATGGATAAATTATACTTTTAATCAACTTTTGAGCCATATTTAATGTTCAGAGTGCTCTAGTGAATGGCTATCTATTCTTGGTTCATTTTATTCAACTATTACCTGCTACTTTTAATCATTGATCTAGGTCACTCATTATTCTTCTAAATTTCAAGCAGCAATGAAAGATAGGTCTACAATCATTCGAACATTTCTGAATTTACCCATTTCAGCTTGCTACACTATCTATTATAATTCATTAGAAATCCAGCATATTGCACTTTTCCATTTGTCATTGTGATATTTATCAATTAGATTTTGATTATTTCACTTTTTTGTTTATTCTGCGTAAGAATGAATCATTTTATGGATTTATATCAAAAAAGATAAAAATATTTAGCTAGTGAAGAGTAAAATTGATGTTGATGTGAAGCCAACAGCCATTATGCTTATTGACCCCAATTTCATTATCGGAGAAATTATGCTGTTTGATAATCTCATTGATTTAAGGTTACAGTGAGAACTTACTACTCCCTGTTCTTTTCTCTATCTCATGTTCTAATTGTCATGTTATGCCCTCGTTATCATTCTTAATAAGCCTACTTGTGCTGACCATGGATTGATAAGTCAATCCCTTGCACTCCATTTATTCACTTTTGATATTATTCAATGACACTTCGATTAAAATGTTATGAGCCGGCTTTTATCATTTTATAAAATTTTGATGAAAAATGAAGTTACCTATGTGTGATAGTTATTCTAGACACTTCGTCAATTCTTCTAGTAGGACTATGTCAACCTATTTCTTTTAAAAATTGGAATTTTGCACTTGCAATCACTAAAACTGATCATTTATGCATAATTTATACAAATGATTTAAACTACTAATTATAATTGATGATTTCGAATAATATTAAATTGAATACGATTTGAAATTATCAGAATGTCTTAGCACTCGAAGTTGCATATTCTGCGGATTTTTTTAGCCGAAATTTATTCTGAATTATAAGCAGGAAATGCTCCAAAGTATTGCTATCTAGGACACATTTTAAAAATAGGTTACTATGATAAGTTCTTCCAAGTTCATCACACAAGTAACAGCTAACACAGTTATTCGAGGTTCAGGCTCTGGCGATACCAATGAATACTGACCCTCTAGTTGGGAATTCCTGGTAGAATGAAGTAGGATTCAAAGATTGCATTTCTGGTAGAATGAAGTAGGATCCAAAGATCAAGCTTATATTTTAAAGAAGATGAAAATTTAGAAATCTCTATATCTAGTTTTAAAAGTTGGAGAGATCTGAACAGAAATATATTTGCAAATGTACTGTTACACATCGAAATTTAAGAATCAAAGAATTTTAAGTTGTAACTTTGAATTTAACTTAAATTCTTATTTATTTGTGAAAGCATGCAGATGTAACCCCATTTACAGGCATTCTTGTTTGTACAAGATCCCAGCGAGGATTCTAACTATTATTTGACAAGTAAATAAGAAGCTTAGCCTAATTCACTTCACATTTGCATCCCACATAAAGGTTGAGAAAAGCGCAAAATTTTGTTGCGCCAAATTTTTGTCGAATTCGTCAAATTTTTCTTATTGCGAATAAAGCAGTGAGTATAAGACATCCTTCCGCAACCTTCTCCATTCCAAAAGATAACCATTATAAACCGAGCAAAATAAATTTTTAATTTCGTCTTCAACAATTTGTAAAATGTGCAACTGTATCCAAACAAACAAATACAAATGAAATAAAGTGACGTAATTGCTATCAGTGATAATAGTCGTAAATGGAATGATTGTCATGAATTATACCTAATTTTAAATAGATATTTTGTATTTCATACTAAAATATGAAACTTCATAGTTTTTATTGTTTATACTTATGAATTATTTCCTCATTTTAATTCGCTGAAACACTTTGATAGAATACCAGGTATAGAGTGAAATTGGCTGAAAGAGTTGTTTCGATATCCACTGATAAAATGGAGGGAACAATTTATTGGTGGTGAAAGTAATCTTCACAGATAGATTTATGTTTACGCTAAATTACTACCACTTTATTGATTTTATTTGTTGAAACGTTAATAATTTCCAATTAAAAGCTAAGATTGTGATCACATATGCATGTCTTGCACGTCCTTGTTTTTCATTGATCTCAAAAGGTTGCAAAATACTGGGAAATTTTTTCCATCAACAAAATAGAAATTTTCGTTTGCGTTGATATCATCATATAAAAGGGAGTTGACACCGCTCCTCGTTAATTCCATCACCAATTTTTGTCGTTAACATCAAGTTCTCCTGTTCTTCCTTTTCCATCTCTACGAATAAACCTCTCCTCTTTAGCACTACTTGGAACCAACAAGACAAAACAGAAGGATGTGATCCCTTTCATCCATTCTCACTTCCCATCGAGATTTCCATCTACTTAACTTTTTTTTTTTTTTTTTGTTAGGCTTTAAATAACGCGGAATCCAGCAACTTCACCCAACTCTGCTATTGTTAATTTTCAAAATAAGCACCGTTTTTTCGAGGTCAGCTCCGTTTATAAGGACTAAATTGCTCAAAATTAAAGTTAATTGCCTTTTTTGAATGCTTAACTAACCTGTTATACCATTTATTTTACTTTAAAACCATTTCTAATAATTGTTGTTTTTCATGGCTTTCTGTTAGATTTTACAATCTGATAAGGATCAAACTTTTGTTCAGAAAACCTTGATCCAATTAACAAAAGTTAAGGTGAGATAATATTCAAATAAATTCAAGGCGATTCAAAACTCGAACTTCATTTATTAATGATAATTATTGCTACATGTTATGATTAAAATTAACCTATTGGACTGGAAAGAAAAAGCTATTATTGTATGAATAGTTGGATATGATTACTAGTAGCCTTTTTGAATTCACGGCAGTAGAAATATGTATAGACTTATCCACTTTGAATTTTAGTTTATTTGGAAGGTAATCCTATCCTCATATCAAACTTTAGAAGTGCTTCTAAAAATCTCTCAAATCATTTTGTTTAATTCTGCATATAGGTCATTTGGAAACTATGGTGAACTCCCAAGATTAATGTTAACTTTCAAAGATATCTATATACTTTCAAACGAATTGTCATGAACACTTATTAGAATGTCGATTTGTGTTTTGTACCTTTTGGTAAATGATGTGACAGAGACGACTTACAAACAAATTTCTTCACTTTTACTTTTTGAAACTTTATTCTTCAATTGTAATCGATGAAACACATATGCTTAGATGCCCATGAATGCATACGTGATGGTTAATGAATAACATTTGACATATTGTCAGGTTGCTTTCTCTATAACTATATTTCATTTACACTTTTCTTTTGTTTTCAATAAAATATTAAATTACGCAAATTCGAAAGCACTCTGAAATGAGTTATGTATAGTTTTTTGAATGTCAAAGTTCATCGCCAGGATCGAGGGCAAGAAGTTTCGAGGATTGGTAGAGGGACAAACAATTTGGTGATAAAATGTTGCACCGATTATCGCTGCTATGGATGGCGTTGTTTGGCATATTGTTGCGTCCTAGCAATGCAATCACCAAAAGTTTTGTGAATTCGTCGATGCCTGACATGCGGCCAACATTTGTTGTCAACTTTGACACTGGTACTGTTATTTGTCAACACTCTCCGCATCCGGGTGATTTACATTTGCATCAAATCTCAATCATATGCGATGGCAAGCCAGACTGCTACAGTAATCCAGCAATACATGACGAGAGCTTTCCATATTGTGGTATTTTTTCGACTTTTTATAGAATTTTAAAATATTTGCAAAGATTTAATAAAAGGAGTAAAGAATCCTGAAACAACTGAATTTGGGAAGATTTATGAATTTTTGATTAAAGTGTCATCTCTAAAAAATGGTCACTTCAGTCGTCCTTCGCTGAATGTGTTACGTGCCATTCTTTTCATCGCATTCAATTACATCGAAGTGTCCAATAATTTTAAATTGTCCATTTTTTGAAGAGAATGAAGCCATCTTAATTTGTTTTTACTTAGATGAGAGAATGATTTAGAAAGAGACAAGAGATTTGAGAATGTTTGTAACGCCTTTGCAAGTCATATCCTAAATAATGGAAATTGCCAAGTAATCTCAAGTATGTTCTTAAATTGATTTGAAAAAAAAAAGTTCAGAATTTGTTTATGGTGTTCTACAAAGAAAGAAAGAAAGTATTCAATTAAGTTATCATTACAGAGCTAAAATCATTTCTCTCTCATGTCAAAAGCAACTTGTCAACGAAAAGAGGTAGTATCTAAAACGACTCAACTAATATTTCAAGCGCAATATTGATTTTAAAAGTTGTGCTACTCGTTAAAATTAAAAAAAATTTAATTTCGGAAGAATAAAGGAAAAACTGAAAGTGTTAATTTGTTTTAACGAGTTTCAGTTTTTTTTTTTCAGTTTCATTTTAAGTAATAGTGATTTGGACGATTGTCATTAGTTCATTTTGAAATTCGTAAAAGTTATTGCAAATTGTGGTCTTTTTAGAATCACTGAATCAATTAATTATTTCGTCTTTTAATCGATGAATGATTCGTCCATGCCTTTCGTAGAGAATAGAATCTTCTGCTCTTCTAACTGCTCACATCAATGTAGCGTGTATTATGATGTATCGATGCCAATGAACTTTCCCCATTTTGGTTTTGTTGTTGGATGGATCAGTTGGTAACAGTTACGAAAAACTGCCGTCAACCTTACCTTCATGTGGCGGTGTCATAAATGCGCTTTAAAATTTTCTGAAGAATCAGCGAGTCGGAATTCTTTTATCAAAATTGTGTCTCATTTTATCTATAAACGTTTGAGATAATTTTTTCATTCGCAGAAGAAAAAATTCGACAAAAACACCATATGCGTGTACAATAATTTCCATTTAGAATGAAAGAAGAACATTTGTAAAAGGACTATGAAAATTGAAATTACGAAATGTCCACTCGACATTAATCAATCAGTTCCATTATATTTACACATACAACAACTCTTTCTGTGGGTTAAAACTCGAAACGTTTTCTATTGATTCTTTTATTCAATGAGATTTAATAATTCATAAAGATCTGGAAACATTGATTTTAAATGTTTAAGATACTACAAATGGTAAGCTAAAATACTTAATCAAAAATTTAATCATTCAATTAATCAGTCACTAGTAGTTAAGAATTTAAGGGTCACAACTTTCACCAGTCAGTCGATCAATTAATGAACTTATTTTGACTTAATTAGATAATACAATTAATTCTATGATCAACTCTTTGAAATGCTTGACAAATAAAATAATCGATAAATAAAATATTTCATATCTGTTCAGCACCATTTTCATTTCCTAAGCGTGGTATAAATTTTAGTCTTCTTGACAATCATTGAAAGAGATTCGGAAAATTAAATCTCATAAATTTCTCTAAATCCACCCTAAATTTCCTGTTAATAAAACAAAAGTTTTAAGCTGATAGCAATCTGAAAGTAACTGATATAAGAAGTAAATGATGTTTTTAGTACATATCAAAACAGGATTGTGTTACATATCGCAACTGTCACAACTTTGTATGAAACACACCTACTGATGTCATGCATACTGCAATATGGTGGAGATTTTCTCATGTTAAATAACTGCATATGAATTATTTCCTTGAAAGTGACTCGGAATGCTGAATTTAAAGTATTTCATTTAATTCATCTGTTTGTGAAGTTAAATATCCATAGGAACTATATTTGGATCTAAGAATATGCAAATGAAATGATGTGTAACAATTTAGATTTGATAACAGTTGCTTTTCAGGAACTTAAAGTTCATAGGAGAAGCATCATTTATCATTGAACGTCCCATCCTAATTTTTGAATTTTATAAAGGATGTGCTGCAGGTAGCCAATGTAACTCGACATGCAATCAGCGTGGCGCATGCTTGTTCGATGGAACTCAGGGACAGTGCTATTGCAATGCTGGATATCATGGCCCTCATTGTGAGCTTAATGGTATGATCTTTGCAAGTCTTTGCAAGTATATAAAGAAATTTCCATCGTAAATGATAAAAAATTTCCTATTGGGAGTAAAAACTTTAGTAAGTAAAGGTTTCAAAATTGTGGAGGAGGTGAAAATATTTATTTTTTTAATTTAAATCTTAAGCGTTATTGTGCTTATTTTTTATTCAGATAACAATGAATGCAAAGATAAACCGTGTCATTGGTTGGCGCATTGCCGTAATACTTATGGCTCATATTCTTGTACCTGCTTTCCCGGGTTTCAAGGAAATGGACATGAATGCACCGGTAAGACAAGTTTTACCACTACTCTTTTTTAACCCTTACAAAATTTTGCTGATTAGCGATGGAGAGCGAGAGATAATTTTCAAAGCAGATCACCCCGATGTTCTCAGAATTTACCAATTTAATTTTATTTTAATTTCTGACTTTAAACCACTGTTTTAGTAATCCTAATTTCTATGATCAAAAGGTGAAGAGTTATATATACTACTATAATCATATCCTCTTCCATGACTAAATTAATTGTTCATAATGGAGAGATCGAAATCTTGAGTATTTCTAAGAATTTTGATAAACCACGCCATTTTTCATCTCAGTTCATTTTTTTCCTCTTATCTCGCCATGATTCTCTCTCTCAATTATTCAAATCTTCTAATTAAACTTCAATTTTATCGATACATTCCGTTTATTGTCTAGTTAGATAGATAGCTTTTTAAGAGTTCCACATGCTCTATTCCTTCGTCCCTATTTGCAGGTTAACTTATCTGAAAGTACGACTCAATTCTACAGTCAACGTCATATTAGAATTCCAATTATTTATTCTTCACTTCTCTTGCGTTATGATATTTTATTAGAATGACCAGTCATATAAGTGGTGGTCAAGACGTCCTGTTTTTTCTCAAAACTGACCTCATTCAATCAAATATTCAAGGAAATGTCTATTTTGGAACTTCTGGGAAAGTTCATTAGAATTTTTCTTCGGAGAAAAAGAGCGGTTTGCTGGAGGAATTGCATCATGAGTAGAGTGATAAGGATAATGATTCCCTTTAAAGATAGAAAGATGATGCTTATATGTGCGGAATTGATGAGCGGCGGTTCAAATTTAGTGGGACAAGGCCATCAAAGGTCATGGTGTTCGATCGTCTCGTTTGGTACCAATAACAAGATTTGCTTTTCTCATCGGGAGAAAATAGATTTTTCGCTGAAAGATTTTGTTTGAAAATTTTACACTAGCCTGTTGCTATCAATTTTGTGAGAAGCATTAAAAACTAAGTAGTGAGGATGAATTGGATCACATGAAGTAATTTAGGTTAAAGAACGAGTTTTCGCAATATTTTCTTTCTATACAGTAAGAGGTCATTGCCGCCGCTAACAACGATTCCCATAATTCCTTTGAAATATCGACAAGTATTTAAAATGAAAACATTGATAAAAGATAGGCGTAATATTAATAAAATAAAGACGTAATAAAAATATATCAAAAATTTATGCCAAATATTAATCATAGAAGAGTGAAATTATTCGTGTCTCACAAAAGGAGGACGAGAAATTTTTCAGTTATTTGCATAATAGACCGTTGAACTTGCACAAGTAGCTAAGACAGGAATAGTTCTAAAATAATGATTCATAGATCGTTATAAGTTAACAACTGTCAAATTGAAGACAATAGAAATATATTTTTAAATTTCAGATATTAATGAATGTAAGACGGGGGAAGCGAAATGTCCGGAACATTCAACATGCGTTAATCTACCGGGTACATACTTCTGCAACTGTACTGAAGGATTCCAACCATTGGGCATACCTCTTGAACGTTGTGCTGGTAGATTAATCTGATTATTAGAAAAAAAAAAAAAAAACTACTTCTAGAGAAACAGAAAAGTAACAAATACATTTGGATGGAAATTCAGATCTAAATTTTTTCCTAAAATCTGTTTCATCCTTACAAATATACTTCAACATAGATTCGCTTTGTACGAATTGAGAAGAGATCAACTTCGAGAAATCAGAAGCCAAGAAAAATTTAACCTCTTTTTCTTTTTATCACAAATTGGTGACTTGTTAAATGCGACGATAACTTTACATTGATTATTCATCATGAAAAGCATAAGATGGTTTCTAAGAAGCAAACATCTTTACAGATATCGATGAATGCGCCCAAGAAATGCATAACTGTCCAGAGAATTTTAAATGCCAAAATGAGGTGAAATTTTCACTTTTTTAGTATTGGAATTTATGTGTTTTTATTTCCGTAAAGTGCTGATCAGTCTTCACAATGTTAATCATTTGACAATTTCTATGGTTATGATGAATCCCCAGGCGGTTGGGGATGATCTCGTTATCAATAGGAAGGTCTTGAAAGTAGAAAGTGATATCATGGTTTGTGAGTAACTTTTTTGCTCGATTTTGAAGCAGTTTTTGCAATAATGATTATCATTGATAATACTATGATTATTTTCGATCTCTTTTCTGTGAAAATTTGTGGAATTTCTTTGTAGATTGGTAGATTCAAGTGTGTGGAAAAATGTGACAGTGGATATCGTTTGGTAAATGAGACGTGCGTTGACATCAATGAGTGCATCGAAAAGACTTTTGAATGTAACAATCGTGCTAGTTGCGTGAATATAGCCGGGGGTTACCAGTGCATATGTGAAGATGGTTTTACCGGTGACGGTCAAAATTGTACCCGTCAGTTTTTCAAATTTAATATTTGACAAATTTAATTTTGTTATCTTTGAATATTACACAATAAAGATGAAAAAAATTGGAATGAATTTTAGCGCTAAATGATTGTAGTCAACAAGAAGGTATTTGTGATCGGCATGCTTTTTGCATTGGTACTCTGCGAATGTGTGTATGCCAATCAGGATATATTGGTGATGGGTTGAATTGTTATGGTTGGTGTTTTCAAAAATCCAAAAATTTTATTCTGTTATAAAAAAGTACAAATTATCATCATAACTTAAATTTTTATTCTATCAGGTTTTATTTGAGTACTATCAACTATTGCTCCAAACCAAATGTTCCAAATCATGCGAAAGATGTTAGCATGTTGTCATATATTTATAGATGTAAATGAATGCGCAGCAAGAAATAATCCTTGTGAAGGTCAAATCGGTGAATTGCGCTGCGTGAATATCGATGGTGGCTATATCTGTTGTGAGCAAGATCTGGACGACATAAAATGCATTCGAGGTATATCTGTTTAAAATTAATTTAATTTTATAACACAGGAAGGGAAATTCTTAGGTGTTCAGGCGATATTTCTCTCAAGAAACTCTTAATAAAATAATGGAGAAAGGAAATAAATCTCTCCTTGCTATAACACTTCTGAGAGTTAAATTATCCGTTAGGAATGCAGCTTTGCCTTAGTGATAAATTTATTATTAAAAATAGCATTTTTTATTTGGCACTATTTTATAATTTTTAGAAAAGGGTGCATTCTGTTCTGGTGGATGTGGATTACATGCCATATGTTATAATGAAACATGCCAATGCATGGAAGGATTTAGTGGTGATCCGCAAGTTAAGTGTTCTGGTAAGTAGTTGTAGTTGAATTTCTAAGTTAAGTGTTCTGGTAAGTAGTTGCAGTTGAATTTCCAAAAAAAAAATCTTGAACAACTTTGTCAAATAAAATTTAAAGTTCGTTAGATTGTCGTCAGAGCATTACTTCAAAAAGGGTTGTTTTAGCAATTACCGGAAGAGATTGAAGTAGAATTACCAGACCAATTGATCACTTGATATTATGCATTGTCACCAATAGAATTCTCATTGTAATAGTAAGCCAAGAGTTTTGATATTGAGGACTTTTAATAACCAAACATTTTGCAATAATTTTGACCCTTTTTATTTTCCATCTTATTTTCCGGGAAATTATCTTCTTCGATCCTGTATTGCAGATATAAATGAATGTGAGGATGATAAGCGATGTCCGGGTGTTGGCGAATGGTGTGTGAATCTGTTCGGTGGATTCGTTTGTTGTAATATCGATTCGAAAAATCCTGAATGTCTTCATAGCAATTCCAAAGTTAATGGTAATAATTTCAATATGATATATGCCGTTACTGTTTTATATTTGTCACAACTATTATACGTTTACCGCAATTATTTACAATCCACTTACAATCGTAATAATAGTAGTAGTAGAAACCATGTTTGTGAAAGAGTAATGTAGATAGTGAATATATACTTTACAAAAAAAATATTCGTGCCCATTTTCACCTCATTTTCAGAATGAACACTACATTGAAATTAACGTAATAACATTAATTAGTAACAATCTGTCTCAGTCAGAAACATTAATTGTCCCAATCACATGCTACACTTAATTAAAGGCATTCGTCGAACTTTTTCCACCGGTAGTATACAACAGAAAACAGCAGGCGGCTTTGTAGTCATCGGCAGACAGGTCACATCGTCGGAACAGTTTGGTATTGCATGCTATTTTGGATGTCCCGCTGATTCGCACTGCGTTAACGATAGCTGCCGTTGTAATGATGGTTTCATTGGAAATACCTTTGAAGGTTGTGTTGGTAAGTTATTACTTTCTGACCGATACTTCCGCTTCTCCCTGCCGAAAAAAGTTACTTTTCGCAATAGTTTGGGGCAATTTGAGGAAACTGAAGAGGTTTGTTACTTTGAAAGAGTAATGTCATTCATTATTGCAGATGTTAATGAATGCGAGCTTGGCCTGTGCAACCAATCAGATTCATGGTGTGTTAATTTGCGTGGCTCATTCGCATGTTGCACTATTGATTCCACTTTATCGGACTGTATCGGCTTAGAAATCATTCATGAAAATAATCTCGCTACTGGTAATACTAGAGGAGAGCATCCTACATTGTCTTCTGCTATGGAGAAAATTCTAGGTGGCATGGGAGTTGATACTTCTGGGTCTGGTAGTGCTACCGATGCTGATGATACTGGCAGTCCAAATGAGTCTTGGAGTATTAGCTCTAGTAGAGGTGAATTAAGTGACAGTGGAAAAAGGAATAGTTGGGATATTGAAACGGTCGGAGAATGGAAAAATTTCATGGGTCATGCTGTAATTATTGGGCGTGGACGAATCGAAAGCAGAAAATGGAACGTGACAAGGGATAGAAATGGAACACTGATTGGCATCGGTATGATTCGCTTCAGTTTATAATAGATCAGGTCGATTTTTTTATATTTTAATTAACAATGACCAAATAAGTCATATTTTCGAGATTGTTTTGGAAAACTCTTCACATTTTTAATATTTGAATAAGCGCAGTTCTCTCTGTATGTTCATTGTATTTTCTCCTTTCCATTTTTAGCATCATGCATAATTAATGTCAAAAAATCCACCGCTTTCATTTTAGGTTACACTGCTTTTATTTCACGGTCACATATAAGATACGGTTGTTCAATAAGAATTTCAATTAGATTTAAATTCCAATTAGAAAGTGTATTATTGAGCAGCCAGGATTATTCTATTCAGACACTGCAATACTTCGTTCAAAATGCATTTAAAACTGGTTTCAAATTGAAATTCAACTTGTCCTGTTAAGATTTAATGAATAACCTCCTTTTTGATCCATCTTTAAGGATTTTCACCACTTTCTTTATGCTTGTTTGCAATCAGTTTTGCCATTCCAGAAGTGCATGGAAACCGGACAGAAGAAGAGAAGTATTTCGCATCTTCAATCAAAGAAGAAAGCGATGAGGCCGGTGAAGAGGGTAAAGAAACCGAAGGATCTGGTGAAGGCATTGAAACTAGCGATATTCTTGGAGTAGGAAGAACAATTCAGGATGGAACCCTAATTTCGCTGCATTCAGGAGCTAGAAGTAGTGAAAAGGTATCTGATGGAATCTTGGCAATCAGTACAGCTTCAGCGCTGCTAACGGTCAGCAATTCCGGTGAAGTGCACAAAATTAGAGAAGAAACAAAAAACCTGAAGTCATCATTTTCCGGTCTTCGAAAGCACCGATAAATCATACACTTATTGAATCAAGAACATCGATAGAAGGAAGTTCAAAAAGTCTGGCTCCCCTGTATTCAACTCTAAAGTCTCCAAAAAACTTAGCGACGAAAGCTCTTAGAACACTTTCAAGTGAGATGAATAGCAGTCAAGATAGTTCTGGAAAATTTACAACTTCTAAAGTCCCCGAAACTACCTACAATATGGATGCTGAACCTGAAGCAGGATCAATGAAAAGTGTAAAACTTGAAACAACTATGATTCTGGAGATTGGCAAGACAGAAACAACAATTATGGCAACTGAAAGTAATTTGACTAAATCAAAGGAATCAATAGACACAAAGACAAATGTCGAAACAAAAACAGCGAGAGCTACCGACAAAAAAGCTTCTTTGACAACACCATCGAACATGGAAGAGCAACTCAGAACCACTGCTTATATTACCAGTAAAGGTTTCGAAATGCAAATGCATTTGACTAATAAGGAAATTAACGACTCTTCAACCGTGCAAAATGAAGTTATAATTACTGAAGCAATAACTTCACCTTCCATTCCAGAAAGCAAATCACAGTGGAAGAAGGAAGAAGAACAGAAACTGCAACCAAAAAATATAGCAACAACAATTTCTGGAGCTGATGTAGTAATTAGTGTAAAACAGGAAACCATCACACCAACTATTATTAAGATCACTCCCAAAGAAACAATAACTGTTATTCCAGAATCTGATTCATCAGCCTCAACTACAATTGCACATTCAAAATCTGAAAGACCAGCCAAACATGGAACCTCCAGCCCACCTGAAGAGCGATCACATAAAACCACTTTAAAATTTGGTTTGGAAATAGCTAAAGCTGCGCTAACGACTGATCGACAAACTGAGATTGAAGTATTAAAAGTATCTGGCGAACATGTTTCAGAAAGTAATGAGACTGCTGAGGTGAATGCTATATTATATAATCCATATTCGAAAAGCACTAAATCAGTTCAACTTATAGAAAATACTACGAAATTCGAATCAAACTCATTATCAGTACCACAGAAAATTGGATCTAATAAATTGCAATTCATCCAAAAATCAGTTTCAACTGAGACGATGCAGACGAAAGCTGGAACGATTACTTTAGAAAAGTCTTCAGAAGAACCGACAGAGATTGTTGAAAGCACTGAAGTGCCTTCAATATCTGAGCAAGCATCTGAAAATTCTGAAACCGATAGTATGATATCACGCAATATTGAAATTGTAGCGAGTTCAGTAAGTAGTCTTTCATCTTTCAATCAGCTTTCTACAGCGGGACCTAATGCAGTATCAGTTCCATTCACTAAGCCAGTAAGTCAAGATAAGTCGCCGGTAATTGTTGCAATGCAATACACTGTTACATTAACAAATGTAACACCAACTGAGAGCGGAATCGATATTCTCGAGGAATCGTCTACACCTGGGCCTATTCGACTTGGCAATTCACTCACTAGCCAAGCAACAACTGCTAACCTATCAGTAAAACTGACATCTGAAGATGCTGTAGATGAGGTAATAGCGATGAGGAATGAAAAAATAGAACCTATTTCAGGCGACAGTGAAACTGTGGTCTTAACCACAAAAAATGGTAAAGTACCCACAACAAACGATGTGGAACTGGAGGGTTCAGGCGAGGAAATGATTGAATTGCAAACTGTCAGTAGCACCAACGGTTTCGTTTCAGACACTGCCATCGAAACAAATGATCATTTAAAAACAATAGCTATTGATCAGAAGATTCACGAAATTGGAGTAGAAATTGTACTGGTGAATGGATATCCTGAAACAACAGAATCTATAAGTGACGAGACGAGTATGCCAGTCCAGAGAAATTGGAATAATATAAGCACATCACCAAATATCAATTTAAATACATCGCTTACCTTCGTGACCACTCATAAATTAGAGAGTAAGAATATAAAGTCTGCTTCAAATTTTCTTGGGGGAAAATCGACTACAGCAGAATCCTCAACATTTGATTCTCATGGAACCGAGGAATCAACAGATTCTGGAAGTAGTCCGATAGATTTTGAGAAAACTGAGAGTGTAGTAGACATAAATACTATTCAAAACATGGAAGCTACACCTGAAACCACTGCTAGCGAAAAACAGGATTCGTTCGAAGAAAGAGGAGTTGTTACTAATGAAGAAATACGTCCAACTACAAGTATTTATAGATCTGAAAATGCATCGAGTTCTACATCTGGTATAACTGAAATCGCAATGATTTCGAAACCATCAGCATCTGAATCTACGAAAGAAAAAAGTTCAGAAATGTTCCTAACGACAAGTGAAACTTTGACACCAATTGGTATGGGAACTAGACTCAGAAATACGTTGGAACTCGTAGGTAGTGATAAAACTACTGTTCTTCACGTGGATGATGGAAAATTAGGAGCCGTTACTACTCCGCAATCCAAACAGTCGTCAGTAGCATTTTTAACCTTTACAACTAAAGAAATTCTTGTAAAAGCATCCAAAACCAGTGAAGAACCAACAAGTTCGACCGCAGAAAACACAACAAAAGTTAAAACTATCACTGAAGGAGCAGAAAAAGGTGTTATGACGACTGATGAGGGAATCAAGTACTTCGCATATTCAACTGCTAAGGATTTGAATATTAGCTCAAGATCTGCAACTGTAACAGAAGCTGATACATGGAAGCCCAATACTAAAAATATAACAGAACCAATGATTTCCACAATTTCAGAAGCTACATCAGGAGGAATACATTCCGACATAATCAGATATGGAAGTCCATTTTTCAGGATAGCTGAAATACCTGGTACAACTGATTTAACAGAAGCGGACTTATCACAAAGATCAACACTTTCTAAGAGTAATTTAGAAATTGTATCAACAATTGGTAGCACAAAAGTTTTTAAAACAGAGAGAGAAACTGCTGGATGGACGTTGAAACCGGAAGAAGTAGAAAAAAGTGATATTATTCTAAAAATGAAAACAACAGTTCCTAACCTCATTTCTGGAATCTCCGAATCAACTATTTATCCATCAGGGACTTCCATAGAAGTTGAACAAACATCAATGAAAGGCTCAGTTAGCGATGAAAATCTATTCAGAATAACTCAGCAAGTAAGATTTTGACTATTTTTTAATTGGTATGTATTCATTATTCTCTAATTTGAATTTAAATCTTGATAAAGGGGTTAAGTTTCGTTTTTTCTCAGTCTTCAGGCTAAATTCACATGCTGACGATTTCTTAATTTTATTAAATTTTTGAATTATTATATACAAACTGCGTCTCGAGAAATTTCGATTATTCATTTCAGGAAACTGTAAATCCTCTCTATGCTAATATTTCAAAATCTAACGAATATGTGACAGCTACCAAAGAAACGTATACTCTGCAAGAAATCACGGAAACAGCAATTACTCAGAATGATACCCCCGTCTTATCTTTGCGTTGTCGAAGTAACGATGAATGTGGAACAGATGCATACTGTGAACGACGATCTGGAGTTTGCCGTTGTTATCCGGGATTTGATGGACAACCGCCGATGACATCATGTGTCGGTACTGTCTTTCATTGCAATATGTGAAGCAAAGAGTTTGATTCCACAACTCTACAATATAAATTCTGGACTAATCTCTCGTAAGCTTCTTCCAGATATCGATGAATGTGAGCGGCATCTGGATGATTGTCATTTAACAGCTCGATGCTCGAATATAGTTGGTGGTTTTATGTGTTTCTGCGAAACTGGTTACCGGATGTCAAAAGAACATATTTGTGCAGACATTGACGAGTGCCAAGAACGTGCTGGACGTCCTTGTAGTCAGCATGCTACCTGCATCAATATGCCGGGATCTTATCGGTGCCAATGTAATCTTGACTATACAGGTATTTCTTATTTGATATGCATATCTTTGATGACTGTTAGCGCCTGACAAAATTCCTCTCAATATTTCATATTCGCAGTGCGATAAAATTTAGGTGATGGGTACACATGCATTCCGATAGACAAGAGACACTGTAGAGAAGAAGAACTGGCAAAGTCTAACTGTGGAAGGAATCAATTGTGCTTAGTGGATGATAAAGGTGAAATTGACTGTGACACTTGCAAGAAGGGTTTTGTGAAGGAAGGAACGGATTGCGTAGACATTAATGAATGCGCTCAAAATGGTGTGTGTCATGAAAATGCATTCTGCGAGAATATCGATGGTTCTTATTCGTGTCACTGTCAATCTGGCTACAAAGGAGATGGTAACAAATGTGACGGTAATTTTTTCTTTTATGCTGCACCTTGCAGTTAAACCATTTTATCCACTGGATGTTTATTAAATTATTAGTTACTTGTAAATAAAACTGGCCGTTACAACTATAGTACATACATGCAAAATAGGCTCTTATACTTTCACTTGTATAGTTAAACTGATTTGATTGTGGTGGTTACTTATATATGTTTGATTAAAATATCTTTCCGAGGCTTATAATATTTAGTTCATTTTCCCTGTAAACAGTAGTAGCGATGAATGTTTCAAAAAAAAAAAACGAAGTATTTTTTAAAACATAATCTCTCAATATAATACATTCAGATATTGATGAATGCCAGAATAATCCATGTCATCCTCAAGGCATTTGTATCAATTATCCTGGTTCCTTCAACTGCAAGTGTCCGGATGAATGGGTTGGCGATGGCAAAAACGAATGTATCAATCCGTCTGATACTGCTTGTCTGGTGTCGTACCTTGTTTTATTTTTTATCTAGCTTATATTTTCGAAATTTTATGTATTTGATATATGACGCGCAAAGAAAAATTTCAGGATAAGTTATCAGTTTGCAACCAAGTCAACCATACATCATGCTTATCAGTCAACCTGGGTAACATGACGAGGTCGATATGCGAATGCGTCGCTAATTATCGATATAATCATGACAAACGTATCTGCGAAGGTAATTTTGTATTTGACATTATCCTTGTCGCATTTCATAAAACAACGAAAGCTTTTGCAGTGAACTCTCCTCAACAGTGTTGAAATGTATTAATTAAAGAATTGTTCTGTTAAATTTTACAAGGACACTACTCGACAATACTGGAATTATTTCCAATAATAATGGTTGAAAACGGCTTCTTCTAGAATATTAATATAAAGTCTGTAATTAATTTTTCTACCTTAATATTATTTTAATCAACTTATGCTGAAAAGGGTTTGCTTTTCCTGTAGTAACAAATGTGCGACATTCTGTTTCATTATGCAGCATTGTCGTATGGATGATGCATTTTTAAACACTCTTATATGGCTTCTATCGCATGACACAAATCAAAAATACGATATTTAGATATTGATGAGTGTGTGGAGAACCGCCACAGCTGTGATCCCTCGAATTCGATTTGTGTTAACACAGTTGGTGGCTACATATGTGTATGCGCACCTGGCTATGAAGGTGTAGGAGGTGTCTGCGTCGGTGAGTTCATTATGTGATATCAACAGTTGCATCCATATCAATGCAGTACCAGTAAATTTCAAATTTTCCGCTTATATTTCCGAAGTGGCTTGGTGCAGTTTGCTGAATTCCTTAAAACTAAGACTTACATTCGCTACCTTTATGAAAAGTACTTCTGAGGATTATCTTTGACACTTGCCGTTAAATATCCAATCCCATATTATAGATGTTAATGAATGTGAACGCGGTATCGCTGGTTGCAATCTGCTTGCTCGATGCGAAAATCATTTGGGAAGTGTCGGATGCAAGTGCCCACCGGGATTCATTAGTAATGGTGTACATTGTATTGGTATGTACCGTATTATTTTTAGTTTAATTGTACGTGGAATTGAAGTTTGAATATTGATTGAAATTAAAAAGTTAAAGTTATGTGTTAAAAAGTTATCCATCTGGTTAGTTCGATTCGACATCTTTCTGAGACTTTTTTTTTTCTTCTTTCCTCTCATTTTTCACATCAACAAAATTTCCAATTCAAGCTGTCAAATCGTTTACAAAAACTAATTCTGACTGTAACGATGAATGGAAGAGGACTTGTCGTGACGTGAACAGAACATGTCATATCGATGATGAAGACGTACAACAATGTGGCTCGTGCATTATTGGTTATCAACCATTAAATGGAAGATGTCTTCGTGAGTTGCTGCTTCCCTTCCTTTGTATCGAACATGTTGTTATAAGATGGCTATAGTCCCGGGAATAGGCTAATTGGAAAGGGAAAATCCTTTTAGTTCTATGTCTTTGTCTTCTGCAAAAGTTAAGATATTTTAATTAGAAAATAAATACAGCGAATTCCACCAATAGTGCAACAATAAATAAGAAAGCAAAGTTGTAGTAATTTTGGATTACCTAGGTATTATTAAAATTTATATATTGAGATGATAGGAAGAAGTGCTGCTTGCTTTCAGCAGTACAAGAAGCAGGTAATTGCGCGAATCCACAGAAGAATGATTGTGATGCGAATGCGGAATGCATCGACGTACATCCAGGGCGTCATTTCTGCACCTGTAAAGTGGGATATATTGGTGATGGACGACACTGTGATGGTAGGCATCATTTTTGATCCATAGAATGTACCTGTGAAGTGATCCTAAGTCATCTTATCTAGGGATAGATCAAATAATGACACGATTCTTCATTAACTGTTCCTTCTGTTTTTTTCAGTCAGGTAACAAAGTACTTCGTTTTTCACAATTTAGTAGATATTTCTTGCTCTAATCCTGCTGTAGTGCAATCATAGCACTAACAGGATGATCGAATAGAAACAATCCAAGTGAATCAAGCCACATCCTTTTTCCATTATAACTATTAACGTTACTACGCTAATACAGAAGATCACTATTAGCGTACTTCCAGCTCCTTTTATTGTCAGATAGATATCGGTTATTCTGGATTGTATTTCCATGCAAAAAAAAAAAAAAGTCAAGAAATGGAACTGGGACAGAGACCTTTTGAACTCGGTGGATTTTGGCATTGACCAAAACTTCGAAATAGATTTCCAAATTAATTCAAATTAATTTACAGGTCCTAATTGTCATTTGAACGTATCCATGTGCCACAAAAATGCTCGATGTCAACTTGATGGGAACTGTAAATGCAATAGTGGATATCACGGAGATGGAGTTGACGTATGTCAATGTAAGTTAGATTTTTTCGTATTTACTTATATATCTATTCAAATAAAGCTATTTTTCATCTGTCGGCATTATTTTGGCGAACAGTTGTCGAACAACCAGTCATTATTTCAAGTTTAACTTCAATCAAAATTAGTTCAAATTTTTATCCTGATGATTTCTTCACGAAATTTTTGTTTGTAGTGGAAAGTGGGAAGGAACAGGCTGAAAGAATGTTTGAAAATAAAACGGACATCTCAACGGTCATAAAAGCTGATAAGGTGAATCAAGAGACCAAAGAAAAAAGTGTAACGTTAACCTATGATTCTGTTTCTGCTTCCGGATTCGGCACTTCATTCACAGTCATGCCCATCACAGTTTGTGTTGTTGTTCAATTTCCGAGGGAGCATGTATAAATTGAACGCTTTACGACATTTCCCAAAGTTTTATTTAACACTTTTAATTAGTGTCAGAGGTAGTGCTGATGAGGTACGATAGCTTCTAAAAGTAAAGCCTTAAGTTTATGATTTTTTTTTGCTTATACACAAACTGTTACAGGAAATAACTCAAACGGCAAAAGATGTGAGATCTCAGCAAAGCAGTGCTGTGGGAGCAATGACAAGAAAAGACACCAGTATAACTGAAGAAAATTCAGAAAAAGGAAGTATTATCGCTGTTACTACTTCTAGAACTTTACCGGGTTGGATAAGTGAAACTAGTCACGTAATGATATCTGAGGGGTCTGGCGAGGATGACGCTATCAATAGAGATTGGCAACTTAGTACGAAGACTGATAACAAATTATTTACTGCTACAGCTTTACCTTCGGAAATGGCATCGGTGCGTGACGGCGTGAAAGGAACTACAGGTGTTTTTGGCTTTGATGCCTGGGTTCATTCAGGCCCTATTTCTTTGCCTAAAGGCGCTATCATTCCGGAAAGGATTCAGAAAGCGGGTATACATAAGTGCACTGTTGCCAATCATTCAGCGTGTCATGAACTTGCAATTTGCGCAGAACAAAGCGGCGAGTGCGTTTGTAAGTTGGGATACCACGGTGATGGATACTCCATTTGCATGTTAGTTGATTTTTGATCATTTCCACTCTTCATAAGTCTGTTTTCTGTAAGAACTCATAGTTCGAAGCTAAATCAAGAGTATCTCAGACGATTAGAACGAAGTGAATAAAATTTGTAATAAAGGAAGGATTAATTTAGAATGAAGCATAATAAAGAGTAATCTGAGAGTAGATAAGAAGTAATGGAACGCTCGAAATAAGAATGATAAACGATTTTTGCTTTTTAAAAACAAGAATTTCAATTTAAATAAATAAGTTCTCATTTTCAGGAAAGATACTGAAGACTGTACTTACGACCCAACAGTTTGTGATTTACGCGCTGTGTGTGACGAATTGACGCATACCTGTAAATGCATTCAAGGTTATATCGGTGATGGCGTTATTTGCGCCCCGGATACCTTTGTATGTTTTATTCCTATCCTCTGTATGGATGTGTATATATCGAGATGAGTAAAATGACACGAAAAATATGGGATGGAATAAAATCTTTGTTTCATATGATTTGAAACAAAATTTCTGAAACATAAACTGTGATAAAAGGAAAATATCCTGTCATGAACCAAAAATTATAGGACTGTTTGCTGAGGCCAAACTTGTGCAGCAGTTTTGCTGAATGTATTGGTCGAAGATGTATATGCAGTGCTGGATATACTGGTAATGCATGTTGTCGTCCTTTAAGTCATATTTCTTCCTTCATTTGACTCATTTGCAACTCTTCGAATTCAGTATTTTGTTATTATAACTAATCAAATTTATTGATCTAAGAAGTTGTGAATACAACTAAGTAACATATATTAAAAAATAAATTTTTCATAGGTGACGGTACCGAATGCGTTAAAGTCGAACCATTGCAAGACTGTACACGATGTGATATCAAAGCAAAGTGCTACAATACAACTTGCATTTGTGATAAGGTATCATTCTTCTGGCCATTTTTGGATTCTTTGAAACTTCAACGATCACACAAAAGTTATTCGATTTTGTAATTTATGCCCAGTCATTTTGGAATTTGTTTAAAAAGTGATCATTTGTTACCAGAATCAATTCATTTCCGTATTGCGATGGTTTAATTATATGAAAAACTTTACATCCACGATAAATTTTAAGGGCTATTTTGGTAACGGCGCAATTTGCATCGCTGATCCAGAGGACTGTATTCATTATCCCGGCCTCTGCCATTCTAATGCTATATGTGATCAAGAAAAGAGGCGTTGTAAATGTACACGGGGTAAGTTACCGCTATATTTGATTTATTTGAATTGTAGTGTCTAATAGGTTCAAATCCAGATAAAAAACGTGAAGATAAAATTGAATGAACAGAAGAAGCTTGGATAAGATTATAAACTTGGAGGAACTTAGATTGAAATCTTTTCTCAAAGGTTACGTTGGAAATGGAATAGAATGTAATAAGAGAAATGATTCGTTGTGCTTGAACGATCGAAGCATTTGTGACCAGAATGCCGAATGCCTCTCAACTGGTATATGCCAATGCAAACAAGGATTTGAAGGAGACGGGTATTATTGCTGTACGGGTTAGTTTCATATTCTGCTTTGAGTTCACATCGGTAATTAATATTTTGGAAAAATTGCAGCTATTAAATTAAAAAAATGAAAATGTTAGGCAGTAATTACAGTATTCTCTGTAGAAAAAATATCAAAATATCCATCTTTGGGCATGACATTTCTTTTTGAGAACAAGTGGAGAAAAATTTTCATCGAAAAATAATTATAAAGAGATCTTGGATATCTCTGTAAATCTAAGCTCTTGTTTTAAGCACCAATTCTGCGATTTTTTTTGGCAATTTTTTGGATGTTTAAAATTTAGATGTGCAGTTTTTATTTCGAAAACTTATAATTTCTTTTTCGTAACCTAGAAAAAGTAACGCAAACAACCGGGAGCAACTGTAAGCAGCAGTGTGTTGCAAATGAAGAGTGCTACCGCGGGGAGTGTCGATGCGTCGAAGGATACAAAAGAGGACCAAATGCTACATGCATGGGTATCTTTTATAAGAGTATACTTTCAATATTTTAACCTTTTCCTTTTCGAGATTACTGAAAGCTTTTTTTTCATCAAAAAATAATTCCACAAAAGTCTCAGATGCCAATCCAGATTCAAGTTCTTGTTTTAAGCGACTGAACTTAATTCCTCAGACTAAAAAAATACTGAGAAATGAATTGAAGATATCGATGAATGCTCAATGGGTACACACGATTGCCATCCAATGGCGCTGTGTACCAATGTGCCTGGTTCCTTCATATGCATTTGTCCGATCGGTTATCGTGGAAATGGACGTAAATGTTCTCAGCATCATCTTCTCTACAATATGTCCGGTAGGTATCCATTCGTTAGTAGTATGACAATTTGGTTTAAAAAGTGTTCCGAGAAGTTCTGCCATTTCAACGACGCACACTCAAAGATTTGGGAATCAATCAGAATCAACTGAAAACGTTTATGAGACGCCGATGTAATGCAATATAACACGAAATAAGGAAAACTACCAACTTATTAATATACAATGAGCATTATTTTCACAGAAACTTAAAATTTCTTTTTTTTTTTCAGTAGATTGTGAACTGGACAGAATGACGTTATTTTTGATCAATGATCCCGACTTGTATGATAGTCGAATATTTGTTCGTGGCCAAAATGATAATCCATTTTGTTCTAAGAAACTTGACGCTTTGCTTACTAATGAAACCGAATACCATCTCATAATTCAGTATTCCCACTGCAATGTTAGAGTCGAAGGACCGGTCTGTTTTTCTTTTTCAGTAAAATTTTTTCTCATTTCAAAAAGATAGAAACCAGTGGATAATAATAACGAATTTTATAATAATAACGGTTTTATGATTAATATCAAATTCTACATTTAACAGAAGATGTGCCATTGTGTTGAAATGAACATCACAAAATTTACCACATTGAATTTAATAGACAGTATTTTCTGTGATGTCCAAAAACGTCATACTTCTCCAATGCACTTAAAATTAAAGTTTGTTCAGAACACCATAGCTGTGACAGTAGTAATTCAGCGACATCCGATGTTTATCACGGAACAAGCAGACGCTTATGACATTAGATGTACATATCCAGTTGGCGTTCGAAAGGTCGTTTTAAAATTAATTAACATATTCATAGGTTGTAAAATACATGTAGATTTTAGCACAAATGATAATTTGAATTTCATGATAGACTAGAATTGTAAGAAAGATAATGATGATGAAAGCAGTTACTTTTAACAGTAATACAGTATTTTTGGATCTTATATTGATTTTTGCCTCAAAAGATGTATTGGAATTCATTGATTTTTACCCCAAAAGATGATTGGAATTCATTTTCCAAGGATATCATATTTTTCACTATATTTAATTATACGTTAATGTTATTACTTTACAATTTAATACGTCCGTCGTGTGTAACAGTGAACGAACTATCATCTGGCTGACGATTTTAAGGGTCATTTTTGAAGTAGGATAGTTGAATAATCATCCCAACGCTTCTTTTTCGTCTTCTCGGAAATATGATAACAGCAATGCCAAAAATACAGCAGTAATAATTGTTCAGACTAGTTATTTTGTGTTTGTAAATCAGACTAAATACAGCCATAATGTAGTGTTTAATAATATTGTTGAAAAAAATGAATTATAGGTAGCAAGTCATGTGGGTATTTCGGAAATAACGACTACAAAGACTATTATTGAGACGGGAGTTGGACCAACCTGCTCATTAACTGTTACCAATGAACAAGATCAGCCGATTGATACTGCTACCGTTGGACAACCATTGAAACTTGCTCTAACTGTATATCCAAATGGTTTGATTTCATCTGATATCAATAATTGGTTCTGTTTTCTTTTAAATAATAGTAGCATAGCTGTGGACGCACAATATAAAACTCCAATTAAAAACTGTTGATTGCAGCGTACGAAATATAAGAACTTGTTTATTTTGAAATTTGTTTCATCAGTATCTATATAAACTAATCAGAATGATGAGTAGAGTATTTAGGCAGAGAAGTCAACAGAAATAGTTGAATTCATCCAGGGAGCTCTAAGCTAGAATAACTGAACTGGATAATGCGTTTGAGTAAGGCAATTTAATTAATTTTTAATTTATGCTGAGTAAGATTGAGTTTTAATTTTAAACACTTCTCTTTGTAGATACATATGCGGTTCTCCCGCGAAACTGTTTTGCAATAAATTTGGAGACTGGTGAGTTGTATTTGCTAACTGATCAGTGTGGATGTGCTATCGACACGGAACTTTTCCCAGAATGGACTTATCGGCAAGTATGGCTTACAACAGCCAGATTTCGGACGTTCAAATGGCCTGATAGTTCGATGATTCGTTTCCAGTGTGACTGTTCGGCATGTATCGAAAGCTGTCCAAAGGTTTTTGTTCTCAATCAATGATAAATTAATGATTTGTCTTCCGTTAACTCATGACACTTCCCTTTTGTCTGTAATGGAATATAGGTTAATTGTACGGAACGGCATGAGTCGATGAAACAACATCGTTTCCGGCACATACGTGAAATTCCAAGAAATTCCGTAGATGAAGAACTGGAGAAGCATCTAGTAAAGGGTGCAAAATGGATGGCATATTCTCGAACATTACACGTCAATGAGGAAGAGGAGCTGGTGCGAGCGCAACGTGACATGAAACGTTGGAAATACCAAGGTGAATTGTAAATGATTATTACATTCATTATTTGTATTTCGGCATTAAGTGAAGGGAAATCTTTTTTGCTATGGATATCGCCATCAAGTAAGGAAGTTTTCTTTTCAACTTTTTTGAGATGAAAGGAGGAGGGCTTTAAATTGAGTTGATGCTTCCTTTTTTGCATGTTAGGTGCGTCTCAACGTAAATTAATGGGAATTATTTTACATTCTTTTGAAGTTAAATTTTGTAAAATATTTTCTTTGAGATATGAAAAGTTTCGAAGAACCGATAGATGCCTTATCCGATGGTATTTGTATTCGGGCTCTTTGGATAATACTATCTCTGCTACCACTAGTGCTCTTGCTGGTGCTTATTGGTTTACTATCTGCAATGTGGCGAAAAACATCCTCCGCTAAGATCCGTTGGAGGAGAGCAGCTATTAATGATAGTGCATCTTCATATCTCGAATTTTAGCAAAAATGCATCCTTTATTTCCGTGTCAGTCCACAAGCAGTTGTTGTTATTTATTGTTGTTATTGTTATCATTGTTGTCATTGAATTACTCCAACATTCCGGAAAGTGTGGACTACTGAATTGCAAAGTTACGATCAAATAACCGTCAGTAATTGCAGAATACTACCAAATACGACGTTTACCTGTACCGTTTGCCGGATTTTGCTTTTATCTCAAAATTTTGAAGGAGTTCAAGTTGCTTTTTTGTGTTTGTTAATGCCTCACAATAATTTGAGGGTAATTTTCACACGTTAAGATTTTTCTAATGCCTTGCTGTTTATTATTTTACGCATCATGTTTTGGAAAATTTTTTGAGGAGTGGGATTTACTCTCAGATTGCTCCATACCTGATTAGAATGTCCAGAATTACTGACTGAAAATCGTCGGAAGAACCTAAAACTTAAATGCAGTTTCCAAATGCAAGTTTTTCACTTGCTTTTATTAAGAATAACTACTAACAATTACGAATATTTATTAGGAATTTATTAAAAATGTAGGAAAGAATATGGAGATCCTTCCTGTCATATTATCAAAAGACTCTTCTGTATCCTGCCTTTTTCAGCTTCTTGGCATTAAGAAATTTTTCATGAAATGTTTCATTTTTTTTTCTATCGTACACATTCCAAATACTCATACGCATTTCTTGTTAATACATTCCTTGTCCGTACATTTATTATCATTGATAATTCTTAGTGAATGATCATGTTTGTGTATGCGTGTGTGCATTGTATGTACGTGCTTATATGTTGTCTTATATATTTTGTGCGTGCATGCGTTCATTTTACGATTATATTGGATTTTGAGGAAAATGAATTAAAAAATTTTTCTGGAGAATGTTTCATTTTTTTTAAAAGTTAATTAGAATTTAAAAAAATGCGAAAGATAATTGTATATACGCGAAGGCTAATCCTTTGCATGCTGCTAAATTATGCAGCACAGATGCAAGCTTTAATTTTTTAATTTTAAAGCAATTAATTAGGGCCTTGCATGGGCTTTTAGATGACCAATAACATGTAAACAAAGCTTAAAAATGAACCACCGACTTCTTTAAATGCTATGCATCTTTTGAAAGTGAAGGGACATTTTAACTTTGGTTTAGATTTAGGAATTAACTACACTACATGGTCATTGTCGGAAACATGTCTTTGTTTTGTTTACCAACAAATACATTTGTAAATTTGCACTGTCTTCAAAATGGAATTGTTCGAATTTATCGCAAGATTGTTTATTAATTCTCTTTAACTAATAAACTCTATTCAAATCTGTGACGAAAAAACAAAAGAAAATTTTTCATTCAGAATTTCACAAATTTTGCAAGTGAGAGAAGAATGGAATGTTCTCAATTTTTACTTGAAAGATTTACACAGAATTTCCAAAAGGAAACGGTAGTACATTAATCTTTGGAGGAGCAATTGTTACTGTCTCCATTTTCCACATTTGACTTTTAAATTTTTCTGTGAAAGGCTTGATTTTAAGAAGAGCTCACTCAGGATATTTATAAAGCATCCTAATAACCATCAGAATTACAAAGTTGTAATACGAGAGAATAAACGTAAATAAATAAGAATCGATGGAAGATATACTCAGAGTGCATTTTTGCGCGACGGAATCAGTACAAACGCTTAAATGAAAATGCAGACCTAATGGAACAACGCCGCAGAACAATGAGAACAACGTCGAGGAAATGGTTTCCAATGCTAAATGGAACTATTAATTTGGAATCGAATAAATTCCCCGCAAGAATTTACCATTTTTATAACGGTATATCTTATGGTAAGCTATATACCATATCCCTTTTCTTGAATTTATAACACTTATAATGGGCTACTTGTCATCAAAATTAATACAGTGGGAGTTTTCAGCAGTATTCAAAATATATACTGCAAGAAATAGACTATTGATTAATTTTTAACCTCGAAACAATACAAATCATTTTCTTGTAGTACATTCGAAAAATCTGCTGTGAAAGTTTTTGCTTCGGACGACGAATTCCCTTCCTACTGTGCTTTTTTGATGGTTAGCACAGATGAATAGTTTTGGTGAAGGATTTATCGATTATCGGAGAATTTGCAAAGAATATTGAATAGAGTTGAGTAAATGGACGAAGATTGATAATGGAATGAGTTAAATGAATAACTGAATTGAATGAATGATTATTCGATGATTGATCCTGACTCTTTATATATATCTTGTTGGAAATAGTCCAACAATTATATATAAGCTTAATTATCACCACAACATTCCACAATGCACATGTTAATAATAAACTGGAAGACAATAAAGGGCTTTGTATGCAACATTTAAACATTGCAATAAGATTGATTAACAAATTAGAGGGCAAGAGGTGGATAAATGATTCATCATTTCAGGTATCGAAAACTCCGAGAAATATTCGAAATAAAACAATCTTTATACCACATATTTTTACAAAAATATTTCGATTATTCCGACATTCCCGACTAGAAGAGACAGAGATCGTTAAAAGTAAGAATCTGGGGGATATTGCGAAAAATATTTTGTTTCTTCAATTTAGGTTATTTGAAGATATTTCTTGTCCCTTTCCGTCCAGTGAAGGGGTCTCTATAATTTTCATAGGAATAACCATAACTTCTCCATGGTTGAATTTTAATGCATAATGGACAAAACATAGATGAATTAAATCAATTTTCATCTTGATAGCAAGCGGTATAATTGACACTATAAAAATACACCCATAATTCGACCAATAATGATCGAATTTCAACATGTCGCAAATTCTGTTAATTCGTGTATTAATTCGGTGACTTTACTGAATTCATTTTCCATTTGATTCGCTAATTCTTTCTTTGTTCACTTATTTCTTCCTAAAGAAATTTCGTCTTTTGTTCGTTAGGTTTCTTCATGATTGACCGTTTCCTGTTTCTGAGCCAGTATCATTAGTTTTGCATTGATTCTTTCCATTTTAAATTTACCTATTATTCCTCCTTTGAATTCCACAATTTCTGAATTGGATTTTTTTGATCTCGCCAATTTTCCCATTCTCAAACTTGGGTAATTAAACCTTTATTCCTCATAATACAGAAATGAATTCAACAATCACAATATCAATAAGACAAATTCAATGACAATATCAATTGGAACGAACAAAAGAGGAAACCATAGACCAAATGCCGCCCGATATCCTTTAACCCACTGACCTGTTGAAACGCATCTTTACAAAATGATTTGGCGCTTAGGACCTTCTACTTCTTGAAGTAGAGATATCCCGGCAAAGCTCTAAAGTCAGATTTACGATTACAATTACCGCCTTTAATAGAGCACATAAGCGCAATGGGCGTATATGCAAACATTATAGCAGCAGTATCTTCTTCATTGCTTCAATTTTGCGTTACGATTTTCGGAGTTTTCCCCACAATTAAGAGATTTTCTTCTATTGCCTTTGCTATTACATTTTCTCTTCGTAATATGTGGCGGCTAAGGCCAGATTACTGAATGATGTTCACTCTTAATCAGTCATAATAGATTATTTCGGTTTTGACAACTCCTTTGGTAAATTTCACAGCATTCGTAGATTGTCGAGAATATATGGAATTCTAAGTCTTCTGGATCGGTTCTTCCCTTGTCTCTATCATAAATAATTGACTCCTCAAAGCTGGCACTGAGTTTATTATGATTTTTAAACCCCAAATTTCGGTTGAATTTTCGACGATTCCTCACATCAATATTCAATAATGATATCACCTTTCATTGGATATGGATCAACAACTTCACAATTTTTTGTCACAATTGTTTAATTTCCCTCATTAAAACAACTAAAGTTTGAAGTTCATTTATAATAATATGAATACCATATATTTCAGCCCCAAAAATCCCAGTCTTTCTACTGATGTTGCAGCCGAAAAAAGCTACGTTCTCTTATATCAAAAGAGCAACGACCCCTACGATATCAAGGACCAAAAATGCTAAATGATCTGTGATCCAGCTGCGATTCTGTTCAATGAATTTTGCAGTCTTTTGCTACAATGAAAAAGCTTACTACTAAATAACAGTAAATGAAATAGACCGCGATATCATTTGTTTTCTGTAACTCCAAGAATACAATGCTCCAGTGAAACAAGAATATAATCATTTATATATCCCGACGAGTGCCACTTGGTGTTATTTCATCAACATTTCTACTTGCAACAGTAATTAAATGTCATTTGCAATTGATATCTCCAATAAAAGCAAGAAAACTAAATGAAATTTGTACGTAGATAATAATGTAATAAAAGTAGAAAATGAAGCCGAAGCAATATACGCATACAAAGAAGTAACGAAAACTTTCTGTCCAATTCAACGAGTCTCTTGTAATGAAGAGGAAAGTTAATAAAAGTATTTTAGGCATCCACTGACGCTTAAATCAAAGGATCAACAATCCCCTTTGTTGAAAATTGATATCGCTGTGTTGTAGATTTATAGTAGAATTTGAACAAGTATGTGCTCATTGTTTATATGTTCGCTAACAAAAACCTTTGTTAGCGAACATTGGTGTATTGCTCTGTAATCTTGGAACCATACCAAGGCCCTACTACTTGAGTACGGAGAGGATCCTAAGCACTAAAATCATTTATGAAACGTTTTTGAACTGGGTCTGTTAGTTGGAATATCGGATATCATGGAGTCTCTTTTTCTTATTGATATCGTCATTGCATTTGTTTTACTGGTACTGATTGTAATGTTGAGTTCTTAATGGAATAAAATTTTAATTACCCAAATGTGAGGACCAAAGAAACTGACAACAGAACCAAAAAGGCAGACTTAATCCTCAATCTTTGTCGCGACCAGGAAGAAAATGTAGATATCCCCACTGGGACACAACAGACCAAATCAGCAGTAGGCTATCAAATTTGATCCAGGCAGCAAAAAAACGATCAGTATTATAAGGGACTGCCTTCATTTTTAATCCAATGGACTTATTGCACCAATCTACCAGCCAAAATTTTACTCAGAAATCTTTGGGGACGAAATTCCAGAAAAGACGATGTACTGAAACCAAAAGAACTTGAAAAATGGAAACGAACTGTTAATGACCGGCATTCTGTATTTCTTGAATCACCGAAAAAATTTTCAAAGGTAAAAGCAAAAGTACACCAAATCCATGTGTAACGTGATTTGCGCAAACCTATAAAACGAATGCAAATTCATGTCTTCACTGACGCTTCAAGCGTAACATGTATCAACATCGATACATGTTTAAGCAGCAATCTTAAAGGCAAAAACATCATTGATCTTCGCCAAATCTAGTATAGCTTCAATTAAAGAAATGAGCATATTTTGAGAATGGTTGCGATACTTTTTGATTAATGTTCATCACATAGCAATTGAGATTAAATAGTGTTCAATAACCATATGGTCGGTTCGAAATATGCGCTACATTGGACATCATTCAAAACTGTCACCAAGATTCGTACAGAATCAAGTGAAAGAAATGAAGAAGTCAAAAATTTTGTTTCAACATATTCCAATAAGCATAACCCTGGACGTTGCTGCAAGAGAGCTTTCCCCTGAAAACCTAGAGTAATACGAACTATGATCGAAAAGATCACAGTGGTTAAGAAAACCTGAAACTAAATGACCCTAGTGGGAATATCAGACTATGAAAGAATATGAAGAGGCAGATAAAAAATCAGATTTACAAAATCGAGAATATAAGCTTTCGGTCATTTACGCAAGCTGATTTATCAAATCGTCGAAGCTAAGTCATTAAACTTATTAAAAGAACAATAAGAGGAAAATCAGCGGTTAAATCCGCTATCGATAAAAGGACATGAATAACAGCTAAAGATCACAAATTAGCTAAATATGTGTCAATTATTTATTAACTAAACAAGTGCAAATAGAAACAATTCTTAAGAATAAGAAAAGTAATGGAACTTGTACTGCAACAATGAAAAGTCATGGAAACCACCAAGTCGCTTAAAAAATTCGGAATTGGAGAACGAAGCGAAAATTTAACTCATTCACCAGGAAATAATGCAGTTACCGAGCTTTTAATACAACAAGAGCATGAAGCATTATACCACGCCCGAAAACCGCACATACACACCCGGGAACGAAATGTAAATTTTGGATAACAAGGGGCCAAACTGAAGTCAAACCTGTTGTCAGTGGCTGCACAGGTTGCAAATAATAGTCGGCGGAACCATTCAGATTACCCATCATGTCAAATCTACCGGATACGCGAGTCAAGCGATCAACAGCTTCCGCAAATGTCGGTTAGGACTATCTTGGTCCTCTTTCACTCAAAGCCGAGGTTTCAAAAAATGGGAGGAAAAGGAATTAATAACGCTGATTAAAAAGTATTTTGGATGTTCGATCTCTAACGTATAGCAATTTCGATTATAGTAAGGTAATATGTTCGGTCGATTTCATATACCCCAAGGCTTTCCTAATTAAACCGACAACTAATGGCAATCAAGATGAATACATGCCAGGAACACTGAACGCGAGGAAACGACTAATTAAATATTGGATGACTACACTCAAGGTACTCAACACATTTTGGGAATTATGGAAAACAAAGTACTTGACAAGCCTCAAGCTACGGAAAGTGAAAGAGATTGAGAGTGAAAGAGCCACAGCGAACGTGAAACTCCTAAAGATCTGTGGAAATTGGCAAAAATGAAATGGAAAGGGAAGAATGGAATTACAACAGCTGCAGTAATAAAAATGCCGTATGGAAAACTCCTCACGAGGCTAATAAAAATGTTATATCCTCTCGAGATCGATATCGAGAAAAACACAGAGAGAGAAGAGACCTAAAATAGTTAGAGAACACTGAAAAAGAACCTAGCATACTGGAAAGCAAAGTGGAAGTAAAATAAACTTCTTTTTGGAAGCGTTGGTCTCCTCTAATCAGGACTATTGGATTGCCGAAAATTATGTGAAAATAAATTTATCACATTATTACAGAATAAGTAATAAAAAAAGGAAAGGAAGAATCCACCAGAAGGATGTTGCAATCTTGTTAGCATATTTAAGGCGATGAAGGGGATATAAGCTAACAAATGGGGCGGAACATCACAAAGAGATATAAAATATATATTTGATCCAATATACATTTGAGGCACTATTCCCTGCAGCATATCTCCCAACTTAATGAAGGAGACGAGATCCCTTATATCTCAATTATTACAAAACTTATTAACAAAGCAACAATCAACTATATTTATCGTGTGCTTTATACTTTTCTCTTCTGTTGCTAACTAATAAATTGTATGAATATAAAATTAGAACCCAAATAAACCTCTATCGTTATAAAAGGACACAAAATACAGTATTGTGACATGCACCGCACATATTCTTTGTTAACAAAGTAAAAGAATTTTACAACAAAGGGTTTTGTCCACAACATTAAACATTCATAACTTTAGGCATTGAAACATTTACTTATTAATTCTATGCAATAAATCATTTATGAGAAATATTATAAATAAAACAAATATATACTACATATTTTAACAAAAATGCTTAGGTTATTTTGATAGAACTGTTGTTGGAATGAAAAAGCATCTGCAACTTGGAAAAGTAGTAAGCTATTCAGATAAAACGAAAATTTACCTTTTTAAGTTTAGCTCTTTTTTAAAACCTCAACGTAGTAGCTGGTAAAGATAAAGAGAAATTTGTCGAGAAACATAACAAACTGCACAAACAAAGAATTGAAATACAGTTGATACGAAGTTATCGGGAAAACCGAAAAAATGGTAATACGTTCAAACGGCTAAAGAATTTGTTGTACACAATTTGTTATATAAGGCCAATCGGTAAATATTTTTTCCTTTGATGTTGAAATGATTTATGGCGACTTTCTCTTTTTACAAAGAAATCTAATCTTCTATGTAAATATCTCTTGTATCAGTGAAATTATTGTCGGCTTTGTAAAAACCTTAAATGGAGCTATTATCTTGTCTTGAGCCCAACCCACTTGAAGGGGGGGGGGGGGAGAATATAAAAACCCTCAATAACCGCATTCTGGTTCATTCTTGATCATTCATTAATTCGATCATTCAAAACTAACTCTTCCCTATCGAAGACCAGACTCAACGCCCGTTCCGTCTCGTACAACTCGACCTTTGACTGACGATTTAAATAAACTGTAACTATCAATTCTCCTAATTTCACTACCAAATAACATTATATTATAATTGCTATTCTTCTACTTCTGAATAAATCCCTTTTTTTGCGATTCAACATATTCAAACGAAAACTTTCACGACATAAGTGGTTGTATTTTATTTGTGTTTCTGTTTCAATTGTCTTGAATCTACAGAAGAAGCATTCTGAAATATCATAGCAAATAACCAAAGAGTCCACAGGAATGATCGGGATGAACAAGAATGCTAAAAAGTAATGAATATGAAAGATATGTGATGGTCCATGAAATACAAGATTACAGCACTAAATGAGTCATAGTACTGTTATAATAATAAGAGCAATAATGGAATAACGAACTAAAAACTAAATTTTCATTCCCATATGTCTCAAGTAGCCAGGTTAAAGTAAAATGTTAACAAGTGTAGTCATCAAATACAGTAATGCATCAAAAGATGCATGTATATAATCATTGTAGTCTACGAAGCTCAAAGGCTTTTGAATTGGTAACAAGATTTGTTACCCGCGAAATATACGCCAGAAAGATACCAACTGCTCTGCCCACATATAGGTTTTTGCTCAAAACGATATCCTGTTTCTTATACCGTCTTTCTCCAAATAAAATATTAGCTGCGATGAAATATGATCAAGAGAAACAAAATCTTCAGGCACAGAGATCCACACTGCATGATTGACAATGACTTCTAAACAAAGCATTTTCTACACTTCATATATTAAAATCGAAATGATAAAAAAACTTGGAGAAATATTTATGCTGGATCACAGAAGATAAACACGAATTCAAGATCAAATCATACAAAATCATTATGTAGGCGTCTTAATAAAACATAAAATCAACTCGAACTTCTGGTATAGTTACCAATGTTACTAGACATTTCCTCTGATTGATTCACACATCATTTAGGCAATTCGTGCGCTCAAGATCATAATAAAGTGAAAATTGTACAGTGTGAAGTAAACCTAGACATCCAGACATCCTTAACCTGCCTCACAAGTATTATTGTGATCTTAAGCACACCAGTTGCTTAAAAGATGTGTGAAACAATTCTTTGTTTTCTGAAAATTCTTTCTTGAACCAATCTTTTCTTTCCACCTTTTCTTTTTGATTGTCTAGCTAATTCACTATAGACTTTGCCAAGTATCTCCTCCACGAACATGACTTTCCCTTATGAGGAGGGGTATACATTACTGCCAGCAGTGATATTCGCTTTCCCACCAATTAATTGTACTTCCCCGCTACATAAGAGAATACCCTTTCAAAGAGTGAATATGGCCGAAATCCAAAAACGAAGGAATGCAACGAACAAAAAAAATATATCAAAAAAATACGCCGTCACAATCCTTCAGAAAAAATATATCATGCCATAGCTACCCGTCACAATACTAGTATCAAGAAGGCTGCTATCACCAACTCAAGAAAACTTTTAGATTTAAATATATCAGAGGACATTATAAATAGTCAGAATACAGTGGTGAATTTAAGGACACAAACAAATATTCAGAAGATTGAACAATCGAAAGTTGAACTTCAGATTCCAGGGCGTATGGAAGACGTTACAAGACAGTTTCAGCAGCATTATCTCAACAATGAAAGTACAAATTCGCTGTATATTTATCAAAGGAAAAATTTCTAATATTCAAGAACGTATATCATAACGAGTTCAAATGCGAACGCGGTACAGCACTCAAAACACATCAGTCCCTCACTGAAGGACAGTCACATCAGCTATGGCGAGAAGAGCACAAAAATATAGGATCATTTCCAGCTTATAAAATAATTAGTAGTGCTAAAATGTGTCGACTTATTTATATTCCACAAAGAAATTTGTTGCTATTAACTTGCATTCGTTATTGACCACGACGAACGAAGCTGGAGAAAAAAGCTCTCAATGAATTTCAGTTATTAAAGACACGAAAGGAAAATAAGTACAATGAAAGGAATCGCTGAAACTATTAAAAAAATGAAAGATTGAAGAAACTATTGAAGGGCATGCATATATATGTATATATATATATA